ACACACACACACACACACACACACACACACACTGTTAAGCATGGGTCTATCAAGTATGATGTGAAGCTGCTTCTATCTGGATGAGCAGGAAAGATTGGGAACTTGCAAGTGGGCCAAGCAGTCCTTTCAAAATTAAGAGCTCTGTGGCCTCATATCAGACTGTTGCAAAGAATAAGCAAAGTCCATCAGTTCGTTGCCATTAATGATTATACATAAATGAACAAAAGAGAGCCCAATGGTGTGTTTTCAGATGATAGATTAGCTGAGTGTCATGCCCACTCCCCAAGGGAGAGCAACGACCCACTCCCTCAGCTCCTAGAGGAAAAACCTCTAGATGACCCTGTTAATGAGACACTGATAAGACATTGGTAAGGTTCCAATTATCCAAAGAGGTCAATCTATCATAAAGACAGAAAAATAAAAGTAGGTTTAAGCCATCTGTTCACAACTTCTGGTAAAAACAATGAGTTTCAGAAAAAGCATATCTGTCTGAGAGACAGAGATATAAATTTTCCATGATGTAACTAGCACACTTTGTAATAAAAGAGGCTTGAATCACCAGACTATGCAACCAGATCCTACATCCTGACCTGAAATTAAAGTTAACAACTAAGAACTTGCAAACACAGGGTATGGTAAAGTTTCAAAAATCCTAGGAAGACGTAAATTTTATATCACATAGACTTACTAAGTCACAGTGAAATTCGGACCCCAGAATGTGTAAGAATAAAAATAAAAACATATGTTTTGTAATTATTGGACTAGTTTACTATGTGGTTTTTATGCTTTATAAGGTAGTTAGGTTATTTTAGGAAATTTGATATATTTGACTTATGATTTTAAATCGAGTCCTTAAAAGTGTCTGTCAGGTTGCCATCACTGCAAAGGATTAAGCAAATTTGCTTTGTTAAATCCATAAATTTTGATGGCTTTGTTGAGTAAGTGGTATGTGACTATTAGAAGAATATCAATTACATTTACAGAAATATTGCTTAATAAATTCCTAAGATTGTAAGTTGGACAGTAAACAATGCACAAATGGTTGTGAAAATTCCTCCCCAAGCACAAAAGTCCATTGGACACTAAAGACAATCAAAAAGATAAAACCAATTTGCCATCCCAGGAGACTCAAGAACATTAAAAAAAGATTGCTATTCGAGTAAAGATACCATATGCTGAATCTTTTCTATACAGATGGTGTTAATTTCTCAGATTTGGTGGGACTTGACTTTTAGATCACTCTTCCAGGTGCAGTGAAAGTTTCTGATTCCCTGATTTCATTGCCAACCTAAAGCTATCAATTCCATACCTTTTGGCTCATCCGTTTTTCCTCTTGGGTTATCATCCTTTGTGGAATCTTTCAAGGTTCCATATTCCTTTTCCATTTTAGCTGCTTCTTCCTTGGTACTATCTGTTTCTTCATGACTCTTCTCTGATGGTGCTATAATCAGATTGTGCACTGTTGTTATAACCCCATTCCCTGTTTATTAATTAATTCCTAACATAAAAATAAACTTTATTGAAAAGGTACAGTTTGAGATCAGGTTATTTTTTGAGCTGAAAGGGATTTTAATGATTATCTAGTCCAACTTCCTCCTCCCCATTTTACAGAAGAGGAAACTGAGACCCAGAGAGGGGAGAGAGTGCCCAAGGCCACCCACTGAGTTAGCAGAACAGCTGGGCCACCACCCACCCCACCCAGCTTTCCAGATTCTGGTTTAGTGTTCTTTCCCTTCTGCCACACTGTATTATTAGAGAGTGAATTATTTTCCTTACTTTAATCAATGTAGGTGATCAAGTGGGATATGTCAGGTCCCAAAGTAGATATGAGTCTTGATTCCAAATGAAAATAATTGTAGTTGCCCAATCTCTCCTTGGTGTATTTTTGAAGCATATTTTATTACTCAGAGTAGCACCTAAGAATCTGGGGGCTATGGGAGGACTTCTCTCTGTCTGCCTCTTTCTTCATACTCCCTTCCCTCGTCACCCCAAGGCAAAGTAGAGAATTGGACCCTTGCTGTCAAGAAAGGATAACCCTTGCTCGCTTCTCACCTAAGAATAACTATATTTCCTTCTAGTGCTCCTATATTGAATTAAAAATATCATAAACCTTAAAGTAGGTAACCCCTTGAAAACAATTGTAATGCATCTCTTTTGTCAATAAAATAGGGAACCTCAAGCAGCTTAATAATAAGCTATTAATTTTTCAATAAAAGGATTATTCTATAGAAAAAGTAGAAAAGAAAGAAAAAAAATCAGTTATTTTCTCATTATGTAAAGCATCACAACCAGTGCTGTGGTCTGTTTTTTTCTTTTCTTTTTGATGTATAAATTTTTTCATAGTTGAGTCACAATTTTGTTCCTTGCTTTTGTTATTCACATCATTATGGAAGGATGTTTCCAGGTTATTAAAAATGACTTCAAAGCATCATTTTAAAGGGCTGTATATTATGCCATCAAATATATGTCATAACTTCTGTGATAGGGACACAAACTTAAGGTATAAGAACTTGTGAACTTTTCTTTATTTGCTCCTCTGTCCCCCCTGAAAGGAAGCTCCTTTGCATAGCTTGGTTTGGTGGGGTTCGCCTAGCTGAGCAGGGCAGAAGTGAAGATGCAGAAGTGAAGAAACTGAGAGAACGGGGTAAATCATACTAGGGGCAGACTACCCCGGGGAGAGAGAAGACCGGGGAGGGAAGAGCAAGTGGAAGGGGCAGCAGAGAATGGACAGGTGACTAGGGACAATAGTCTGAAAAAGTGATCTGAGAAAAAAAAACCCACCAAAAAACCTAAAGGTGAATTTTAGGAAGAATTGCTCAGTTTTGTGATATAGCCTTCTCCCTTTCCCACCAGCCACCTCCTGAGAATCCTCAGTAAAGACCTACATTTCTTTTCAGTGCATCTTAAGATCAGATTTCTATGCTGGGACTGGCCACAAAATAGCCAAGGGTATAGCTATTTAATCCCATGGTTGGATTTCAGATGTTAAAACTTCTTGAAATTTATAATTCTTTATCAACATTTATTGAAGTGTATTACTTATCGTTCAACAGGGTGGTTATGCTAAAAGCTAGAAAAATAGTTAAATTAATCATACCTGGGAAAAGCTTGCTTTTATTGTCAGTAACATTTTTTTCTAGCTTGTTCTTGGTCTGAAGAGCAATAGTTTCATCCAAGTTTTCTGGAGGGAGGAGGGGAAGAAATATAATTTTATTTCCTGAAAGATGATATCAAACTTCTACTAAAAACTGTTTAAACCTCACCAGGAGTATCACAAGAACAATTCCACAATATTAACACTGCTAGTGAGATGCTTTGACATGGACTTTATTTCTAGGGACCATAGACTCTCAGGACTGAAAGCCATACTATTTGAGATCGTCAAGTTCAGTATCGTGCTCAGTTAATTGCAGAAGTCCCTTCCATATTTTTGTGGCTACTGCTAGAACACATCCAGGGTTGGAACCTATAATGGACACCTATGGTTTTGGCCTACTTGATTTTCCTTTGGAGAGCCCAGATGTCTCCCACTCTCAAGCACATTTGGTTCAAGTGGGTGCTGAACAACCCAGGCCTGGCTCCTCAGGGTCTTCAACCCCCTGGGCTACAGTGATTGGTTCAAGGAGAAGCACATGACTCAAGCCAGGCCAATGAGATTCAATGCTAGAACCACTGGGAGAAAGAGGCTCTTTCCCGCTAAGATTGTTGTACTGTGAGGATGTGAGATTGGGGCTGTGCTAGCCATCTTGTTTCTATAAGGGAGCAGATTGTCTGGAATGAATCAAGATATGGAAAGTCAGAGCTGTGATATGGGGAGGGATAGACTCCTCACACAACAGGTGGACTTCACAAACCTGAAGCCACACCAACCCCAATCCCAGACTTTTCTGTTACATGAGGCAATTAAATTTCCTTATCACTTAAGCCAGAGTTGGATTTCCATCATTTAGCGTCCTCATTAATTCACGAGGCAGCCAGTCCTATTGTTAGGTAATTTTAAGGCTGAGAATTTCCCTATTCTATCAAGATGAAATCTGTATCCTTGCCTTTGTCCAAAATTTGCTCTTTGGAGTAACGTCATATAGGTGTTACTAGACAGAAATCTAGACTATGATCCCTCAAGGTAGATAATGCATTAGAATCCACACTCTTTGTATTCAGTTATTCAACCAGCCACATATCTATCTCACTAATAAGGCAGGCCTTTTTTTTGCCATTTGCAAACAAGCACTTCTTTGCAATTAGTCCATAAAGATTCCATTATTGCTTTGTATTATTTCTCTCCAAGTAAACTCCTATTCCACCCTACCCCATGCCTCTTTTGAGAAGTAAATCAGTATATTATATTGTGTGATGCATTTTGTTTTCTTCCAGATAGTACTTTGGTATATATTCTCCCAACTTCCTATACATATATCTATTTTTTAACACCAAAATTAATGTCACATTTTCAATGGCTTTGAGCATTCAGCAGTCTATCATGAACATTTCATCCTGTCATTAATCCTTATAAACAATATTTGTATTGTGTATGTAATAAATATATACAATTATTAAAAACACAAACATTTAAAAATAAAATGTAAATTGTCCAATATAAGAATAAATAAATAATTTATTTTTGATATTCTCCTCTTGTGCAGTATCTAGGTTATTTCCATTGTTTTGTTCCTATAAACCAGTGCTACCCAATAGAACTTTCTGCAATGACAAAAATATTCGTTTCTGTATTGTTCAATATGGTAGCCACCAGGCATATGTGGCAATTAAGCACATAAAATGTGCTTCGTGTAACTGAGAAACTAGATTTTGAATTTTGTTTACTGTTAATTACTTTCAATTTTAATAGCACCATGTGGTTATTGGCTACCATAATGGACAGCACAGTTATAAACAGCAGTGGAAATACCTACCTTGTGCATAAGCCTTGTACCATCTCTAATTTATTTTCATAGGATAAATGACATAAGTGTGGAAACTCAGAGTCATAGGGTCTTGGTATGAAACAATGACTGATTTGAAACCATGTTTTTTATCTACTATTAAATGAGTAAAGTAGGCCACCAAGCACTGTGTGTAATATGAACTCATTTTTGGTTAAATAGAAGGAAGAAACGACATAGGTATACGTATACAAGTGTGTGTGACACACACAGAGAAAAACATCTGGAAAGATATAAATCAAAATGTTACCTGGATGCTGGTATGAGTGATCTTTTTACTTCCTTTTTTTGCATGGACTGACTTATAAAAATGAATGCTCTTTTATCATTAAAAAAAAAAACCAGTAAAGCTATTTTCATGTAGAAAAAAATAATTCTAGATTACCCTGTCCTATTAGATTTTCTCTTCTGTTTAATTCTCCCTCCCTCATCAGAGATCAGAGTAAAGGGCTGTGAAGTCATCTTGCCCAAAGAACATCAGGGATACATGGTATTTGTTGATTAACTAAATCAAGCAGGAAAACAAAAGGCTTTAAAACAACAACAACTTACACGCAGAATCAAAGAATGTCCAAGCTTATTTATAAAGTTCCAAGAATCAAGGGTTGGCAAACTTTTTCTGGAAAGGGCCAGATAGTAAATATTTCTGGCTTTTCAGGCCATATGGTCTCTGTTGCAACTACTTACTCAACTCTGCCGTGATAGCACAAATGCAGCCAGAGACACTAAAACAAATGAGCACAGCTGTGTTCCAATACAGCTTCATTTATGGACACTGAAATTTGAATTTTATACAGTTTTCTTGTGTCACAAAATACTATTCTTGTTTTGATTTTTTCCCAACCATTTCAAAACATAAAAGACATTCTTAGCTTGTGTGCTCTACAGAAACAGGTGATGGGCCAGATTTGGTCCCTGGGCAGTATTTACCAGCCCCTGATAACAAAGCCCTTTTTTTTTTTACCGATGCAGAAACTGAGACAGAGCAAGCTGAGTGCCTTCCTCCACATGACAGCTGGTCTGAGGCAGAACTTCTGATGCCCAGTCCAGGGCTCTTTCCTTCTTATCACACACAGGCCTCACTGGGTAAAATCAAGGCTCTTTTATATCTGACCATTCAAACACAATTGAAAAAAACCCCAAAACTATGTCAAATTTTAACAAAATTGTCTATGTGGTGATTATTAGAGTGTTAGGAAGGTAAAATATAACAAATGTGAAATGTTTGCACTCGACTTGGATCTATAAGCGTAAAGAGTTGAACACTTCTGGTTAATTTTATTTGTATATATTATCAAGCTGGGCAATTCTGATCATCCAGATGATTCAGGCTGTTTTGGCATAAACTATCAAATTAGTGAAGTGATTATTGCCAAATCTCTAACTCACTTTGGACAATGAAAATGAACCACAGTAAAAATGAAACAGATAGGACTCTCACCAAGGTAGGAAACACCTTCTTCTGGAGATATTGTGCCATATTTTACCATCATCTTCACAAAATCAATCAACGTTTTCATGATAGTAATCAGTGTTTCTTTTTCCTTTGCTTCTTTTTCTATATAAAAGGACAAAATAATTTTTAAAGAAAACTAGTGGAGGATAGCTTCATCTTTCAATGTCAATTTATGAACCATGGCATCTTACTGAAATATTTCTCCCTATATTTATAGCTAAAACCACACAGATTTAATGTACAACAAGCCTAAGACTTTATTGGGAATACAGGACAATGTACAGGTATACTGAACTTTTTCAGAAATGCACAATTATAACTTCTCTGAAAAGATTTACTTTAATCTAAAATATTTTATTAATAGAGTAGAGATAGAGACAGTTTATGACCTGAGATAATATGAACTCAAAAGAGAAGTTAGAAGATTGGTGACCTAGCAACTTTTCTCTCTACTCAGGTTGGACATTTTTGAGGGCAAGAACGACCTGTTTTCATTAATCAGGACTAATATTTTAGAAAAGAACACACATGTATCTTTGTTTTTAATGTAAGGTTGATCTTTAACAGTAGTATATATTACTTTCTATACTTTATTTCATTTTAAAGAATAGATGTAGACAGTAATAATATCCTAACAATACAGAAGTAAATAATGGTGAAAGTAACATTCTCTTCCTCCTCCCAATTCCTACTCCCTATCAGTAACCACTAATAACAGTTTCTTGGGAACTCTTCATATTTAACACAGTGTTCTGCATCTAGATGGTACAAGATGGCCAAAGATTCCATAGTAGTTCAGTAGATGTATTAATTCTAAAATCAGAAAAAAAACCTATTTCCATTTTTGAAGAAAAGAAAAACGAAGGCTGCTTGGAGAGCCCATGTTCCCTATTCTTTTAGCTGCTATGAAGGATTTTCTCTACATACTTATAGCCTTTTCCCCCATCTTTTCATCTTCCCCACACATGAGGTTAGTAGGCAATAGTCATTGGTCTACATTTCTCTACCAATGGGGATTTGGAATCTTTCTTCTTTCCACTCCCCTGGAACAGTGGAAGGCAGAGCCCTGAGACAAGCACTTGATCTGCAGACTCAGACTATCCCTGGGATTGGCTGTTTCAAGAGCTAGACTGAGGAGCAGGGAAGGGCCAAGCTCACTCTCGGCTCTCATACTAAGCTACATTATACAACCCACTCTTTATCAGCCTCCGAGCTATTTTGCTTTTCTATCTGCTTTATTGTTTCTCAATTGGTTCAGACCTTGGGTGAGAAAGACAGGAACTATCAAAGACTTCAGTGTAAGAATTTAAATTAAAAGTCCATAAAAATAAAGGCAATCTGGAATGGGGTCAAAGAAACTGAAAGATTCAAAACAAAATAAGAAACATTCCCTACAGTGAAATCTGAAAAATACCATGAAAGTTACAAGATTAGGAGAGAGGAAAGGTAGGAAAAGAAGTTGGGGAAGAGATCCTACAAAAGGACTGGTAAATAACAACTTCAGCCATCCCATTATTTGCTCAAGGTCACGTCCATATTAATATTTGGTATCATGCTGATGCTCTTCACTGAGAAGAAGTGAGTCACCAGGATGACAGAGGTTCTGAGCTGGGCATCTGCCAATTAGTGGGGCAAGATGGCTCAGAATGGACCCTCAAGATGACAAGCCCTGCAGACGCCAGCAGAGGGGCTGGTGCCATCTGGCCAATGTCTGGAATTGAAGGACAAAGGATATTCTCCAGAAATGGAAACTCACTTTAAGGTCATTTCTTGGGAAAATATGTTACAATTACAGAAATCTTTATTATAAACACTCTGAGGCTGAATCCTTAAACAGGGAGAAGAGAAGCCATTAAGGCGGTGTAGGATATCTGCTTGGACAATAACAACAACAGGAAATTTGCCCAATATTATCTTCCTCACAGATTAACCAAAAATAAACATCAACTGAACTCTCCAGTTAACTTACTTTGGTGCACATATAAGAGACAAGAGCAAGACACATTAAGGACTTTGTTTTCTTAAAAAAAAAACAAATCATTTTTCAAGTGTGTTTTGGGCTCCTGACCTCCTTTTAGCCCAACGTTTATGTCACGTTAACTCATTTGAAGACTGACACTGAAAATGTCTAAAAAGAAAAATTCTGAATCATTTATAAAATGATAAATTATGTTCCACACACTGTTTCCACTAGGAAAGAAAAATGAATAAAACCTTTAAAAAAAAAAAGATTTGCAATAGGAGTTGAGACTGAACTGGATCAGGTGGGGACATTGTCTGATTCATCTCCCACCTGCACAAGGTTCACTCCAGGACCATGAATGCAGCACATGTTCAATAACTGTTGAACAAATAAATGAACACTCTGTCAACAAGAAGATTAAATTGTCCAGAAACCCCACCTTTCCTGCTTATCCTTTCCTAAACATTTCCATGACTAGTATACTTCTTCTGAAAAAATCTATGTGAACTATTTTCCCCAAGGCCACAATATATATCATTGAGGACTGCATTTGGAAACTGAAAACAGGAAGAAAGAAAAACCACTCACACATTTCCTGGAATTACTGTTTTTGTTTCACATGGTCAGAAAACACAGTTTTTACCTGAATCGATGCTTTTCAGTAATGCATAAAAGTTTGGGAAGTATTGGAGTTCCTCAAAGTTGTCTTCGCTGTAGGTTTTAGTTCTCCTTTCTAAGCCATCTGTCAAGGTTAAGGTGTTAGATACTGTTCCATCATTTTCTCCATTAGTAAAACCATCTCGAATTGCTGCCATTGGAGTCTCCCATAGGAATAAAAAAAATCAATAAAAAATAAACAGTTTGTTAGAACTTATGACACTCCAGCTTGAATCTTTCCTTTGTGGTGTCCTTGAATGTGAAGTGCAAAAAAACCTCCTTTGCAAGCTCCTGCAGGATCAAACCCTATTCTAGGCATGTGGGTGGGCATCTGGTCACATGGAAAAGTCACTGGGACATAGAGAGAGACAGGAGCTTTACCTAAAGACTCTGGGTCCTGCTCAAGGGAGAATAGATAGGGAATTTCTCGGTTCCTGCTCTGGCCGAGTTCCCCTCCATCAATTCTCAGGAGTGTCTCCTCATAAAACTGCGTTTCACCGAGGAGAGGAGTTTTGAGTTCACAGAATCTACCAAAAGAGATGGCGCAAGGCATAGGAAAGCTTGTCAGGATATCTGACACTACTAGAGCAGCCACACCTGGAGATTTCCGGGTGACATTTTAAGGGATGTCTAGAAGGGTACACAAGACTTTTTTCCAGAACTGATCCATGGCCAGTGTTCCTCGTCTTGATGATCTATTCTCCATTTAGTGAACTAGACGGAATCTATGAGCTTTCCCCCCCTCCCTCTTCCTTTTCCTTTCCTTCTATTCAACCCATCAGTAGTCATTTTGGCCTTACTTTCAAAATTTATCCCAAACTTGTACATTTCTCTCTTTTCCTACTACCCCACTGTGGTCCAAGCTGTCTTCACCTCTTACTTTTTTAACTAGTACATCACCCACCTCCAATCTATTCCCTATACTGCATTTTCCACATTTGTAGTCAGAGTTATCTTTTTAAAAAATGGGCCACGTAACTCCTTTGCTTATATTCCTTCAATGTGTTTCCATCCTTACGATGAAGATCAGAATCCATATATGTCTCATAAAGCCCTGCCTAGTCTGGCCTGGGTCTACCTCCCCAGTATCATCTCTCATTTCTCTCTCTCTCTCCCGCTCTCCTTGTTTCAGTTACTTGGATACGCCATACATCCTTCTTTATATGTTGGCTCTCACGGTCACAAGTTAACTCCTATTCAGCCTGCAGTTTTCAGTTCAAGTCACTTCCTCAGGAAAGCCTTCCTTGAGCCTAAGTCCAGAAGAGGCTACTTTTTTCTTTTTTTAAATCAGGGCCCATAAAACCATATTTCTTTCCCCAGGTCACTTAATGCAGTTGTAATTAAAATACATGACAATTTGAAGACCATCTACCTCTTCCATTAGAACTTAAGCTTCATGAGAGCAGGGATTATGTCTTTTTAAATGAGCATATATCCCCAGCACTTGGTACATAGTTGGTACCTCAATCAATATTTATTAAAACGGTATTTTACTTGCATTTCATTTGCATTGATGCATTTAGAAAACAGAGTGAACAGGTAGAGAACATGGACATTTTAGAGATGGGAAATAGGAGTACATGCATAATTGGACTGAAGGATCAATCACAAAAATAGCTATGTTGGTGTCAGTTCAGATTGGTAAGCTTGAGTGAAAGTCATGAGTTCTTTGATAAATTTAGAAAGTTTTTTTTTAGAATGGATGGTTCTTCAAAAGGTGTTTAAAAAGATGGCAGCTGCTGGGGATTGAAAGTAGGGACAACCAAGGAGAGCTTTTAGGCTGTCTAGTAAAGAAAATCCAGAATCAATTTCCATTTTCTAGCCTCCCCTAAAACAGGAATATCTAATATAAGCCTGTATTCTCTTTTTCCTTGTATTTGGGATAGGATGTTGAAGGGGATGAGAAGTCACAGAGTCTGGAAGCTCTGGTGGAGAAAATCAAATTAGAAGTGAGGAATTTGATATATTTCTATGGTCAGCTCCATCTAGAGCATCGGTTCTCAACCTGTGGGTCGCGACCCCTTTGGGGGTCGAACGACCCTTTCACAGGGGTTGCCTAAGACCATTGGAAAACAAAAGGATATTTACATTACGATTCATAACAGTAGCAAAATTACAGTTATAGAGTAGCAACGAAAATAATTTTATGGTTGGGGGTCACCACAACATGAGAAACTGTATTAAGGGGTTGTGGCATTAGGAAGGTTGAGAACCGCTGATCTAGAGTTTTAAAGAGAATTCAAGGAGGAGAGAAAGATTTCAGCAGCTTGGCTGAGGTTAAAGAAAAGATGAAGAGGCAAAGAGTCCAGCAAGAAGAAAGAAAGAATGACTGGTCTAAGTAAAGGATGAAGGGCTCTGAACCAATGAAAAAGGAAGGAGCAGGTGGGAGAGCACAGGGTAGAACAGAGAGGCAGCATCAGGCAACTAGCTCTGGGGAGTATAAAAGCCCGTGTGGCAGAGCATCAAGGCAACTGAGTTTTTTTGGTGGGGAGGCATTCTGGGGACAGATGATGACATCCATGGCGAACAGAATTTGGATACCAAAAGGGCTGTGAAATATTTGGATTCAGTACACTGAGATTATACAAATAGTTGTCATGTGCAATAACCATTTCACATAATATGTGTTATTTATACAGTAGAGTATAAGATGTAACCTTTCCTGTGTAATATAACATGTATCTAAATTATTTTCAAAGTAGAATTCATCTATATCTTTTAACTTATTGGTATTTCATAAGTATATATATTTTAAGTAGGCTAAAAATGTCACATACCCTAAATCTTCTTTGGCACCAAGCGAGTTTACTAATTATACACATATTGTATTAATTATATACAAATATAAGTATACACACTTCCATGCACATGTCTACATACACACCTACATAACGTACGCATATACATTCACATATACATACCACTTTCTCTGGTATTTTTCCAGCCTGACTCTCAGTCCTGCTTGTGGGATTATTGAGCGTCTCCTCATAATTGTTTGCTTCCTTAGAGATCAATTTTTGTAAAACGTCTGCTACTTCATCTTCCAGTGTGTGTGCCTGGCTTTCTGTGATCTGTTATAAAGAGTCAAAACACATATAAATGTTATCCCCATTTTTATGATAAAAAAAAATCTAGACTTAACTTTGTAGCTGAACACATATTTTTAAAAGACAAGAGAACCTTTTGGCCCCTCTTGCGGACCACACTTGTTTATGCCTCCATACCTGTAGGCCATCCTAGTGACTGACCAGCCAGCACTCCTGGGAAGAAATGTCTTTGGACTCACCGTGCAAGTGGTCAGTCCTGACTGTTGGAACTCACAGCACACTCACTTTGAGACACATCTGGAGGATTGTTTCTCAACCCTCAGTGGCAGGTCATGCATGGTCACGTAACCTATACTGCCCTATTAAAGCCTGCCGGAACAGTGCAGGGTCAAATTGGACTGCTTAGAGCTTCCCAAATATTGCATGACTTTGCTCATGTTATTTCTTTCTCACCTCACACATCTTTTACTCCTGCTGGTTAAATCCTAACCATCCTTCTAAGCTCACTTCAAACACCTTCTCCTCTGAAGCTTTTCCTTATAGTTCAACTGGATATATTGGGTTGTCGGAAAAGTCATGATGCATTTTTGCAACGAAAAACATAGAAAAATACATCATGACTTTGCCAACAACCCAATAATCCATCCTCTGGCACATGTAACTGATCTTATAGTTCTTACATAGCTTGCGTACATCCACTTATCTAGATCCTCTGACACACTATAAATTTCTAGAGGGGAAGAATGGTGTCTTACCTAGCCTCAAAGACCTATGGTCTATGGTGCCTAGTATAAAGTAGATGCATTATAAACATCTGGCTACTTGAATTAAGTGGCGTGGCTTCTTAGCATATTCTAGACTGTACTAAGTGTTTGGCTTATTCCCATGCATATGACTTACTAGGCCAAGATTCAGGAGTTTAGAAACAATCTTGTCAAATACTCCTCTGTCATTTTCCTCATAAATCCTTGTAGCAATTTTCTGGACAATGTCTTCAGCGGTTAAAGGAGTTCCATCTAGTTGATGAAGGCCGTCTGGGTCATCTAGACAGAGCAATCACAATTTCATATAGACCTATTTCTTGGATCATATTAGATTTATAACATGTAGCTTGCTCATGTACACTCAGATATGTTTGGAATATATTTATGGTGGTGTTTGGTCTACATAAACTCTTGGTTTGAAATAAAATTTGACTTCAAGTTAAGAACCTAGGATGATAATGGAAATTCTGAAAGCTTCTTATGTGATTATAAGAAGCAGGAATATCTAAAGTCAACAGAAAAGGCCTCTCCATTTATTATCATTAATAATACAAACATATTATAATTTTTATTTTTATAGTATGCCATATTTATGTAGTATTCCATATTATTCAAAGCAACCTTCTATATATTATATAATTTGATATTCCACTTCCATGCAAGGAGTAGATTGGTGGTATTCACACATGTACTCCCTTTGCAGGCAAATTCTTAAGCTGAAAGTGGAGGAACCTGCCTCACACCCCAAATCGGAAAGTGTGGACTGAAGATTCTATGACTTACTTGGAATAAATGTTTACTTCTAAGTGAGCGTGTGTCAGAGTGCCTTGCTATAAGCAGCTTAATGTGACAAGCCTCTTTTTCCAGAGAATAGGAAACTTATTTTATGTGCCTGGAACTTAAACTTTTAAAATGTGACAACAGATTGGCATATTTGTAAATCCATGTGAATCTCTGCAGAGAAGATTGCAAATATGTATCCTTGACATCCCCCGGGCATACATTTGGCAGCACCACTTCAGACTAAATAAAGCAAGGGCCCATCCTGAGGGAAAGGAAGGATGCAGTAGGGTTGATGGCAAGGAAGCATTGCGCCTCGTCCATGGAGAATTCCCAGGAGTCAATTGGTCTTTCCCAATCTATACCACATGGAAAAGTATATTTATATGTGCTAGTTAACAAGGCACTTAACTCCCCCTGTCACATCTAGGCAGGTTGAAAAGATCAGAATTTTAGCCCCAGCGATACCTCTTGTTATCTATCTTTATATATCTTCTACTGTAAAGAAAGATAATAAGATTTAAAAGTACCTTTTAAATTACAAAGTATTATATGAAAGTTAGTGTAGTATTATAACAGACAGTGCATTTGTACCTGAAATAAAGGAACTGCACTTATCTTCTAGAGAAAATAGACATCGAATCCCTGGCCAAATTCTGCCCCAATAATTCTGATCGTATTCACTCAAAGAAAGAAGAAACCAGTATTTCTATTCTGAGTTTACCCTTTTCTTTCAAGGCTTCCAGGGACTCAAACAAGGAATTTCTTCCATGGTTTCTCTCCTAGACTCTATGGAGATGGAAGTATATGCAGCCTCAGGCAGACTATCTTCTGGCTGTTTGGAAAGAAGCTGAGGAAAATGAGGGGGGTGGTTATGCTCGGAGGACTGGAAGTTTCCTGACAGTGGACTATTGCCGAGCTGCTGGCTAACCCATGAGTTGTGAGCCCTTGGAACCAGAGTGACTAATGAACACAAAAGCCCTAAGGAAAATCTTATAAAATCAGTTCCCCTCCTGGCTGACTAAAAAGTGAGTTCATCATCTGTTTTATTTTCAGGAGCAGAAACTCACTATCAGTTAGGTCTGATTTTTCCATTTGTGGGTTGCAAGTCCTACTCTAGGGAATAGATGGAGCAGAAACTGGCCGGCTCTATGCAGAGGTGGAAGAATTTATTTCCCTTCCCACTTATCCCTCAGGACCTGAAAAGGGAAGAGTATCGGTAACCTCTGCAGGCAACCAATAGTCGTTCTTTTTCAGATCCTGAGGGATAAGTGGGAAAGGAAATAAATGAGATGACTGCTTTTCAGTTCATTTACTTCACAACAGGAGAACATTAGCAGCGCTCTGAAGGAGTAGCCTCTTTCCTCTGCTGCACTACTGTATTGTCTCGAGCCAGGGACTCAGGCCTCTCCTAAAGGAGCGTTGCTAGATGGGGTTAATAATCGAGCACTTGGGCATCACTCCTCACCTTCCATGATATCCCCCGGCTCCTCTAAAATGGACAGAACAACTCAGAATGATGTATCTAATGCTCCTGAAGGGGTATTTCACCCTCCTGTATAGATAATTAAGGGAAAGCCAAACATGGGTTCAACATTTATAACCTTTTTTAAGCAGCTATGCCATTCTAAGTAAATGTAAAAGGGACATGTACTGTCCGGTTATGTTTTGTCCAGTTATGCTCTGAATCTCCAGTATCTAACATGGCACTTTAAAGAAAATGCATTTTTATTAAAGTCTTAATATGGGCCAGAACTGGAAAGAGAGTGATGAAGTGTAGGCATGGTTTCTCACGGCACAGAGCTTATCGTCTAGTTCATAGCCTGATATATACTCATTGCTCAATGATTATTTGTTTGGTGAATGCACACAGGAGCCTGAATGCACTACTTCATTAAAGGAACTTGAAAAAATTCTGAATTAGACACGCTGCAGAAAATACTGAAAAGGAGAATGGATGGGCTCCATAACACAAGCCCATTTGGAGGTTTCCTAAAGGCATGAAAGCACCCTGCAGGAGTTAGGTTCCCTTGCCCTCCCGTCTGGGATATATATCTGCATGCCTCTGAGTTCTAGTCACCTCGATGGTACCAAACACTCTGGTTCCAGGATTTCCAGGGTATGAAAGGAGACCAGAAATTCACTCATAAATCATTTCTCTCCAAGAATCTCCTCTATAATTGCAAGTAGACTTAAAATGACTCCTTGGGGAAATCTAGAGCCATCAGGACTAGCACTTGGTAGTTCAGAACCCATTTGGGATGGTAGTAAAATATTGAATAATTGAAAATAAGCTGCTCAAGTTAGTGGTCAGACCACAAATAGATATGTGCCTCTGCTGTATGTACAACTAGTTTGACCAAAAATTGCAGTCAAACAAACATTAGGCTGTTTTTTTATTTTATTAAATCAAATGGT